GTCTACAGGATTACAAAAACTTTGGTCATTTTACTGTACATAATTGGTTAAAATTCAATGCTTTCAATTGGTTTATCTTTTTTTTTTTTAAATTTCAATGACTTCTATTTCATTATAATAATATTCAACTGTTTTATTTTCAGAGAGATGCCTCTGCATCAAGTATGTTTGTCCCCGAGACGCCAGCTTCACAACTTCCAAATCTGGAAAACTGTGGTAAGCATTTTCATTTAAAGTCATTTCAGTGTCTAAATGTCCCAATGGATTACATCTTGTACTTATATTGCACAAGTATTCAGTAATGTTTATGTCAATTGACATGGTGAAAGCGGTGTGTGTGTGTGTGTGTGTGTGAGTGTGAGTTCATCTGTTTCATCAGACATAACTTTGGTAGTTTGTATGTTTGTATAACACCCCTTCACACCATATGTATCGTCAAGTTGTCAGACGAAGATCTTTAAGTTTCATCTTACTGTTATGAAGTCATTAAAGGAATTTTTTTCTTTCAGATATTTCTGTGATTCTGAACCTTCCAGAAATTCCAACGTTTGAATGTATGCCGTGTAAAAAGAAGTCTAAAAATCGGGCGACATTGCGATCTCATCAGATAAGGAAACATGAAATTGATTTTAATATCAGCTGTGAATTGTGTAACATGTCCTTCTTCAATACAGAGTTATTGAAGGAACATAGAGCCAAGTTACACAAACAGAAGGGTCTTTGTCGCTGCAAAACCTGTTTCAAAGTGTTGAGCAGCTGCAGAGGCATGCGACAGCACGTGAAATCTCATTCTGAGGAAGTGCACAAATGTACGGAACGTAATAAATTCTTCAATTCCAAGCAGGCTTTGAGGAGACACATGAAATCACATGATAAAGAATTTATTTGTGAACTGTGTGACAAACAGTTTGCAACCAAATTTCAGTTAAAGGTACATGGTTCTGTACATCAGGTGAACCCTGACATGTACCAGTGTGACCAGTGTCAGTACCAGAGCAGATGGTACTCCTGTGTGAAGAGACATGTTACAAAAGTCGATGGTAGGTCACGACCATTTATTTGTGACAACTGTGGGCATTCCTTCAAAGACAAGTACAACTTGAAGAGGCACATCTCTAATGTCACTGACTGACTGAGTTTAGTTTTACGCCGCTTTTAGCAATATTCCAGCAATATCACAGCGGGGGACACCAGAAATGGGCTTAACACATTGTGCCCATGTGGGGAATCGAACCCGGGTCTTCGGCGTGACGAGCCAACGCTTTAACCACTAGGCTACCCCACCGCCCTCTCTAATGTCAAGTGCAATGTACCCAAAATGAACAAACAATGGGAGGACCTATAAGTAAAAACCAGCTGCAACTGTATCAATCTCAACTGTGATTCGTAGCATTCTTTGTGTTTTCATAATCCTGGTTTATTGGAATTACAGGAGGAAAATGGTGTTGATTTGAGTGACTTGAGAGTTGGTGAAAATGCTACATATTCCTCACGTGCAGCAGCTGATGAATTTATTCAAGTGTTTGCAGAAGTTATACAGAAGAGAATTGATTAAGAAATTACAGAAAATGAGTTCATTTCCATTATGATAGATGAGAGCACAGTTATTTCTGTTCAAAAGAAACTTGTGGTATATTGTAAGACAGTGTCTGACAGTTTGCAGTGCAGTACCTACTTTAATGGAAATGTGAAACTTTCTGATGTGAGTGTGACCGGGGAAGTGTTGTTTAAAAGATTAGGTGAATTTCTAACTGGACGGGGTGTAGAGTGGAAGAAAGTGATTGGATTTGGATCAGATGGAGCAAGTTTAATGACTCAAAAAGAGAAAGGGGTTGCTACAAGGATCAAGAAGGAGGCTCCACATTGTGTGTCTGTACACTGCATGGCTCACAGATTGAACTTAGCCACTTCTAAAGCTGCAGATACAGGGATAAATCTACCCCTGCGTCCCGCGTCTGACGCAACAAATTCTGACAGGACTCATATTTATTTTACATGTGCGTCCTCTTGGACGCAAGCTTTTGATGAAACACTAATGTTTATTTTTGTGGAGAGGCAATATCAAAGTATACATGGCTAAATCTCCGTAGATTAACTTCCATTCTCAAATAATTGACATGAGCTAATAAGTACACATTATTTGTAAAAGCGATCGCAGCTTTCATTAGGCCATGATATTAAGTTCATTTCAAGCGTTTCCAAAAATAGACATCTAGGTCACACCAAGGGAGGTAAGCGGTATGCAAATGAGATCCCAAGATTCATTGCTCGAGCATGTGCAGAACTACTTACCTAGTTTTTACACTCTATAAATAGACACAAACAGGCTAAGGGAGGTAAGCGATATGCAAATGAGGTTTTTCAAGACAAACTGATTGGTCAATGAACATTGTGACTCTGAATCAACAGTGTGAAGACAAAATCTGAGCACTCAGTACCAGTAAGAGAAAAGCAGGAAGCTTTAGTCAGTAGCTTAACAACTGTTAAATCTATCTGCATGTAATTTGAAAGTGAAAGTGACATTTGACAGGTTAAATTTCTGCTGAGACAGACTGTCATTCTATTGTTTAAGGTTCTGCATCTCAAGTCCTGGGAAAGTAATCCTATAAATGAATCATTTCATTTATAATTATGATGACATTTATGATATAATTTGTTTAATGTTAATAGTTAAAGTAAGACAGTTACTATTTGTGTTCATACTTGTTAAAGTGGCTTCCAGTTGGCATATTTCTTTTGATGTAATTTGTTTTTGAATCACTGAACAGAGTGAAGAAATAAAACAAAACTTTGGTTGGAATTGTAGAACTTTATGCACAAAATATTACAGTGAAGTTACATTGGTCTGGCTAGTAACTTTTTTATTTTTCTAGTAAAAGAAAACATTTGATTGTCAAAGGTCTAGAGCCCTGCTGTTATTTTTATAATATAGCAGGCAACATGCCATGAGATAGATACTGTCAGAAAACACAAAGTTAGGACATTTCAGTCAGGTTGGCCTGATACTCATCGGTTATGGCTGACTTATGACAGGGAAGGTGATTTAATATTTTGTACTATTTAATAACTATGTACTGAAAATGGTATGACACAAGATGCTAAATGCAGAAAGTTTTAAAATATAACTTTGACCAGACATCTCATCATAATGATAATAAACTGTCCGTTCAGGCTCCAAAACTTTGTAATGATTTCCAGGTTGCAACTGCTCGTATGTATGAAAAACAAGACAAAGCAGCTGTCGCCTTGATGAAATCTGTTCATTGGTTAGCTTGTGAAAACATCCCACTGACAAAGTTTAAACGTTTTGTTGACTTTTTATATGAATTTGAAAACGAAGACACTGAAATTCTCAAGGAGGGTAAAATCAACTATGATTCTCCAACCACTGCCAGTGATCTGTTAACATCTGCGTTTGATGTGATAGGGTATGAACTACAAGTTAAAATGGAAGAGTCTCCTTTTGTTACGATTTAGGTACTACCAGCTCTGTTCTGTGAAATATCCCAGACCGGTCAGACTCACCTGTGCAACCTATAGTAACAATAAACCAGTTTGAATAATATTGGTGGCATTAAGTTTTGTTAGGGACTCATAAAAGTTCTGAGGGACTCATAGTTATTCAGCTCAGTGAGTCCCGGGACTCAGGCAGTTGAATTTGTAGATTTATCACTGAGATAGTGTGGTATATATTAAAGATACTTTTCAAAAGGTGTTGACAGACCTTTACTATTATTTCTTGAAATCTACAGCCAGAACAGAACTGAAAGAAATTCAACACATTCTTGAATCACCTGAGGTTAAGATGAGAGAGGTACATGAAATAAGATGGATGAGCTTCTACAACGCACTAAATGCTATTTACAGATCATGGAAAGCACTGTGCAAATATTTCCAGTCACACAAGGCAGACAGCAGCAGGTTTATTTGAGAACATAACGGATTACAAGTTTGTATGCTGCATGTATCTGATGATGGACATCATCCCCTCTTTAGCTGCCCTTAGCATGACAATGCAGAAGCAAGACCTTGATATATCATCTGTTAGGCCAGCTATTGATGGTATCTTTTCTGCAGTAGACCAGGCATTGAGTAGTAAGAGCTACTATCAGAAGTTACTTCACACATCTCACATGAAGAAGGATGTCAAGATGAAACAGGTCACAGTTCAAGGAGTAAAAGTCACTGTGTCAAATGAAGAAAACATCAGAGAAGCACAAAAATCGTTTGAAAGCACAAGAACTTCCTTCCTTAAATCTCTCAAGGACCAACTTGACAGAAGATTTCCTAAGAAGGATCTCAAGGTTGCCATTTCATTTCAAGCCTTAGGTCTGAGACCATGATCATTCTTATAAAGGGAAGAATTACTGACATTTGGAAATGAAGAATTAGATGTTCTGATTGAACATTAGGGCCAGGACCAAACAGGAGCTAGTAATGTCAGCAAGGCACTGATTAATACTGATGATACAAGGGCAGAATGGTCGTTAGTGAAACCTCTTGTTCTTGAGCAAAGATATCCCAGGGACAATCTTAATACATTGTGGAAGCTTATTAAATCATACCATGGACATCAGTTCCCCAATCTTGTGAAACTTGCTAAACTTGGCTTACACATTCCTCTTCAGACTGCGGACTGTGAGAGGGGCTTTAGTTGCCAGAACATTATTCACACTAGCAGTAGAAACAGACTTGATCCAGACAAAGTGAATCAATTAATGACAATCCAAATTGAGGGCCCTAGCTCAAAGGAATTCCCCTTTGATGCTGCTATTGCAGCATGGAAAGCCAAGAAAGAGCGACAAATATTTCGCAAGTGTTGAGCCAAAATGCTAGGTAAGAAAACTGTGAATAGTTAAGCATTGTTGTGACGGCATCAGCATTATAGTAAATACCTATCTTTAGTCAATATGTGGTCCCCCTGTTTGGTGTCAGGTCCCCCTTTTTTGTAACAGTTAAGGGGGATGTCCCCCTTAATCTCAAATTCCTGGATGCAACACTGTTTTAGCATGGTGAGTTTTCTTACTTGACACTTAAATACTAATAACGTTTATTGTGGTTTGTTATGGTTTCATATTATATAACATGTCAATACCAGTAGCATAAAAAAGTATTGTATGCATGATAAAGTCAACAGCAATGTGCAAACATTCATAATTTGTGCCTATAACTTGAGTTGAAATCATCCAGTACAGGTAGATGTAATAGATTATAGAGTAAGAATGTATGTCCAAGATATTTTTTATGGATTAAACTTCTTTTTAAATTTCTCTCACAACGTTTCGAGACCATTCCAGGTCCCTTCATCAGGTGAACTGTCAGTTAGGACTATGACGTCTTCACTATGACGTCATTACTGAGTTATCTTGGACATCAATGTACAACTTCTAAATGCCACTGAAAGACATCGTAAGAATGTATGTTTATTTTTGGAAAAGATGTAGATGTCCATAGATTGTTAACTCATAAGCATGTCGATCAATGGTTAAGTATGTTAATAATAAAATATTTAAGAGTCTACGTACACCTCAAATGCATGCGCTGCTGTCAGTTATGTTTTCAGTTAATCATTTACTTTCTTCATTTTCTAGATTACAATTATGTCTGCAAAGAAAATATGGACTCTGGCTGTTTGTGTGGAGGAGAGACAAGAGGAGGAGGGAGTAATTCCCACCTGTTGATCAGGGGAAACCAAGTCATGTGGCCTAAAGGCATAAATTCAATTCGTGCCATGAAGAACCTCGTGGAACCGGGGTGGAAATGGCTGTCGTTTCCCCTGGTTAAAGTTAAACACCAGTCAAGTAAGTGAACGTCAACAAAAACATTCTGTTACTGACACATGAGCTAAGTAGTAACTGTGCATGAAGTATTTCAGTGGACACTATTAATCATAATTCAAGCAAAATTTACAAACAAAAACATTCTGCTATTGTATACGCCAGCTGTATAATAATTTTTCATGAAGTATTTTATTGAACACTTACTGACTTAGTGTTCTATGTGGGTGTAGAATTAATATTAGATTATTTCTTTTCAGATAAGAAAGATGAATGTGAAGAGTATGATTATACGACTGCCGCAAATGTCTCAGATCTGAATCCGATTGTTCAGCTTCAACCCAAGGAAAGAGAATTCCAAAGAAGAGATTGTTTTCCGACTTCATTACAGGTAGCTGTATTGTATTACATTAAAATAGTTTAGCAAAATATTAAATATGTAATTTTTTGAGTAAAATTGATATTTTATACTTATCCTGATTCATGCTCTTTTGCTTGTCCCCTTCCTCTTGAGAACATAGTGGAACACTTGTATCTCCTTAATTGAAGCTCCCTTCAATGTAAAATCACTAATTGGTACTCACCCAAGAGTAACCTCCCCTGCCGTAAGGGCGGGAACAGGTGTCGCCACCCTCTGGCCTCATGCTTCACTCTCTCCTGATTTTGCGAGCCCAACACTTGAATTTACAGGGAAATCCAAAGTGTTATGTGGGGAGGATGGGAGGGCTAACCTCATGAGTCAGGATAAGTATAAAATATCAATTTTACTCAAAAAATTACATATTTTTCCTTATCCTGACTCATGCTCTTTTGCTTGTAGAATCCACTGGAGAGGTGGTGGGTAAAACAGAATACTTTGGATTATAATTAGTGATTTAAATAAGTGATATTGTAATAACCCCTGCGGGAACTTCATAAGGCATTGAGACTTAGGATATTTCCTTTATAATAAGCCATCAGATATATACACTATAAGTGGGGTATTACATTACTAATATACTGATATATCAATATATATATAAACTGCTACTCTAAAAAGTAGCTGTACACTGAACATAAACTCAGTATGAGCTTAAGGTTGAATAACCTAGCTAATTATGTACATAGCCCTAGAACTCCATGGAGTTATAAGCTAATGAATATATGCATAATATATATAATAATCTCGTGGGGGTGAATATTAACGCCCTTGCGGGACTGTCAATTGCTGAGCGAGGACCAAAGGACCGAAATGGTGAATGCCAGAGACGTCCTCGGTGGTGATATCTCTGAGATAGTGATTAGCAAACACCATGTTAGATTTCCAGAAGCATCCTTCCATAATTGTATTCAATGAACAGTTACCGTGAAGGGCGAGGGTGGAGGCCAATGCCCTGATTTCATGGGGATTTGATGCTGTTGGAGGGTCCAGTCCTGCTGCCTTATAGGCATTTTAGAAATGACAGTTCTTATCCATATAGATATGGTGGTACAGAGACTTCTCTGTCTGATTTGTAGGCTTATTGGGATGAACAATCTTCTGAGCCGATCTTCGCCTTGTTTTGGAAACGGCGTAAATAGATTATGAGAGCTCGTACTGGGCATAGAGATAAGTCCAATGTATCTTGAGATCCGAGAATCGAGGATAGTGCAGGGACGTGAAATAACCTGTCTGGTTGACCTGGTAGTTGATTTTTGGAGGTGAAATCCCATCTTAATCCCAGGTGCGCTGTTATTTGATTGTCATCAAACTGTATCCTCTCATAATCTAGAGCATGAATTTCAGATATTCTGGCTGCCGTGGCTAGCGATAACAGGAAAACTGTTTTCTGTGAGAGAAATTCAAAAGTTGTCGATTCCAATGGTTCATAATCCTCACTTGTGAGGTGTTGTAATACTACATTCAGATCCCAAGCTGGGCGTGGAACTTCCGCTTTGGTCCTCCAATCGGAAAGCACGTGAAAGTAAGGCCAGTAACTCTGGTGTTCTTGTCAATTTAACACCCGTTCTCATAGAAATCACAGAACTAAGCGCGGGCAAGATATGTTGACAATGTCGAGCCTTTTAAATGTTTGTTTTGCCGTAAGTAACACAAATAGTCTGCCACTTGAGGATCGCGTAGCATCTCTCGCTGTAAAACCCTTGTTTGCTGCATAATTTTGAAACTTTGCCACTTGTCATCGTTACAAGTTACACGTTGAGTATCGTAAGGCAAAAGCGTGACCGCTTTTGCCGCCCTGGTAGAATATCCTCTCTTGTTTAAACACATTTTAATACAGTCCATACGTGAAGTTGGAATACTTCTGGGTTTCTGTGCACCTGTTTGGTGTGAGGATGTATTAAAAGGTTTTGCGCTTTGGGTAGTTCTAGTGCCGGTTGACCCGATATCTTGTATTAGGGCTGGAAACCACGTTCTGGCCGCCAGTAGGGCGGACCAAAGTGAGTTGTAGGCTCTGGCGTTTGGCTGATTTTCTGTAATACTAGAGGTATTATTGCTGGGGCGGAAACGCACGCGCACGCATTGAGGCCTTCCCATGAAATGCTTAGAGCGTCTGTTGCCCATGCTTGTGGGTCTGGCACTGGTGACACGAATGTCGGTAGTTGATTGTTGAACCTTGTGGCGAATAGATCTACTAGCGGCGCTCCTATTTGCTTGATTATCTGTGCAAATATCTCTGTATTGAGCATCCATTCTGTCGGGCGCACGGTAGATGTGGCCGAGAGAGCGCCTGCTAGTATATTCCTGGCTCCGGGAATGTGGCATGCTTTGACATGTAGATAATTCGAACAGTTGAAAGGTTAAATTCAAAAGGTTCGGCGATCTCGTTGAGCCTTGTCTGTTCACATAAAACGCCACTGTCGAGTTGTCGGTATGTATCATCAGGTGCGCATTCTGTAGAATGTTGCTCCAATGTCTTATGGCGTTGATTACAGCTTTCATCTCTAATGCGTTTATGTGGAGTTTGCTTTCTAGCTGAGTCCATAACCCTGATGCCGTCCGGTTGGTGAGATGAGCTCCCCAACCTTGGAGCGAAGCGTCTACATATAGATGGGTTTTGAATTCCTGCTCTGCTAAACAAATCCCTTCGCAGACATTCGATTTCTTGGTCCACCATAGTAGATGAGGTCTGAGATGTTTCGGTAGACTGAATGGTTGTAGGTCGTCGAGATGTGTGTTGACGAAGACCTGTAATGGACGTAACTGTAATCTGCCTATGACTGTCAAGTCTTGGGCTGATGTTAGAAGACCTAGTAAGCTCTGCCATTGTCGAAGTGGTAGCGGTGACAGTAGAGCTGGTGGAATGATCTGTTGGATCTTGAGCCAACGGTCTTCTGGTACTGACTATACGGTTGAGATTGGTGATAAATCGAATGCCTAGGAATTGCAGATCTTGGCGATGGTACTAGGTCCGACTTGTGTAAGTTTACTAACCATCCCAGCTGTGTTAGTAGCTTTATGATGTAGTTTAACTGTAGTTTGAGATGCTGTGGATCTTGATCTACTTGTATCCCGTCGTCGAGGAAGAACGCACTTGCGTAGCCCTTGACGATGTAGATAGATGACAATCGGTTTTCGTTATCCTCGTGAATAACCATGGGGCTGATGCTATTCGAATGGGAGTACTTTCCACTGGTAATGTAACCCGTCTAGCGTAAACCGAAGGTATTTCCTGGATTAGGGATGTATCGGGATGTGCAGATAAGCATCTTGTAGATCTATACTGCCCATGTAGTCCATGGGGCTTAATCATGTGCCGTAGCTGCGCGGTAGATGTATCATTCTGAACCTGGGTGGTCTGCTTAAATAAGTCTTGTTGAAGAAGCTCATGTTGTAAATGAGTCTGTATTTCTCCTTGGAGTTTTTCTTGGGTACTAGGAAAACTGGGGAGTAGAAACCTGGTTCGATGTTTCCTTGCTCTATTACTTCTATGGCCTGCTTGGTTAGGAGTAATGTAACAGCCTCTCTTAACTTTAGTAGTTGTTGTGCCTGTACCTCGAACTTGTGAGGGTTGACTGTTAGTGGAGGCTTGGCCTGTAGTGGGATAACGAAATCGCGTTGAAGAATGTTGGAGACATAGGTGTCTTGAAGTATTCCCCAGTTTTCCCAGTGTAGTTGAAGGCGTCCACCCACTTGTGGCGGTTGTACTGGAACGGCTGGGGGTGGAAGACTCCAGTCGTTCGAACCTATCTTTTCATCGTTTATAGTTGCGGGAACCTCTGGGTGTCCTGCCTCTTCCTGACCCTCCTCTATAGTTGCCATATGGGCTTAATTTAAAAGAATCTCTTCCCCTGGAACTGGCAATCTTCCTGTCTCTAGCTCTTTGTAGGCCCGTGAATTTAGATCTCCCTGAGTATCTTTGTGAAGTCTGTCGAATGACACTGGCTAGCGTGTCCATCGATTTAATCATCAGGACTTCTCTCTGGAATCCTTGGTGACTTCTTTGGCGACTCTGTCTATTCCTCCGTCAAATATGGATGGGGAAGACCACGGGCTGTATATAGTGGAGCTGTAAAGTTCTCACCCCAGTTGCAGGAAGCTAGGAGGCCTTGACGACGAGCTAAGGTCAGTGCTGCTGAGACAGACGAAGATGATCTGTTAAAACTGCTGGTCCTTCTTTTTGCATCAGTAGGGCCGAGTAAATCATTCTGTCATCTTCAGAGGTCGTGGTTCAAATCTGGAGATAAGTGTCTCATTTATTGTTCTAGATCTATTTAGACCAAAGAACATACGCCTCGTCATGGTTTCTATCTGAACCAATTTCCGATCATCAATCTTGTAGTATTTGTTCTTGGCATCGGGAGATCAGCTTATAGTTCTCATCGATGTCTTAGCGCTTTGAAGAAGGGGTCCATATTATGCGTGGAGAACTTCTTGGCTGAAATTTGGCAGATGTGGCGCCTGAACCTTCGCGGGCTTTGTTAAATGCTGTATCTAGGTTCTGAGGCACGCCCGCTTAATCGGGTCGATTGGGGGTAGTGTAATAGCATCTGCATCGTCTTCTTTCATCAGATAAGTCTGCGCCGCATTGCCACTCTTGGAAGGTGATGAGAGATCTAGATTATTGACCATCCAATATCTTATCTCTGCATCTGAGAAAATAATTCCTCCATCATCTTCCATTCCATCATCATAATTAAGAGGTTGTTGCTCTTCTGATGTAGGGCTGTGTGGCTCTATCTCTATATCGCTTGGACGCTTGTGGAGATCTAGTTGTAGGCTTATGTGCAGACCTGTGAGGTGATCGACGTGGTGATGCACGTGGAGATCGGCGTGGTGATCGGGCGAGGCGATCGCCTTGGTGATCTATATCGATAGGTTGACCTTCTTGGCGACCTATGAGGGACTGATGGTAGCCAGCGAAGCTCTTGTGTAGTCCCTCGATGTCCTTTTAGATGAAGACGATCTGGGTTCAGGTGTCCTTCGCGAACGCCTTTCACGAAGCTTCGTCTGCGCCCGGTCCTGGGAAGCGATGATATGACCTTCGAAGGCTGCGCGTGTGGTCTGATGATCAGATTCCGTATCTGAGTATGACGCCGAAGAAGGTGATGATCTTTCCCGCCTTCGCGAAGGCTGTACATCTGGGTCCTTCGTCGAGGTGGTCTGTGACTTCCTTCGCGAAGGCTGCATTGTCGTGGCTGCTACGTTGACAGGGGGTGCCTCTGGGGTGCTGTCCACGTTGGAGCCTTCGCGAAGGCTCGGACCCTGGGATGGTTGCTTCTCCAGTCTATAGTGGCCTTCCATCATAATCATGATCTGTTTCATAAGATCGTGTGGGATGATCTGCGACGTAGTAGATGGTGCCCTCTCTGCTGTGCTAGCGGTGGGGCCCTCAGCGATCTCGTCTCGTCTACAACTAGGGCATACTACATGCGGATCCGCAGCGGAAAAACGTAATCTACAAATAGTACAGTTTTTCATCAATGTAAAACTAGCTGAACAATCACGAACTCACGTGAATAAACAGTAGAAATACGATTAATTATCAATGCAAATAACTGAAGGATACCAGCTATACCTTTATAGTAAACTATAATAGGTAACTAACTAAGAAAAACCAAAGGATATAGTGTGTAAGGAGACACAGGCGCTCTCACATCCTGCTCACTGGGCGAAGAAGGAGAGAGTGAAGCATGAGGCCAGAGGGTGGCGACACCTGTTCCCGCGCTTACGGCAGGGGAGGTAACTCTTGGGTGAGTACCAATTAGTGATTTTACATTGAAGGGAGCTTCAATTAAGGAGATACAAGTGTTCCACTATGTTCGCAAGAGGAAGGGGACAAGCAAAAGAGCATGAGTCAGGATAAGGAAAAATATATATTTATCTAATCAGCATCTACTTGTTTTGAACTTTTAAAGCACTTTGCATGTGCACAACACTTAGAAAACGAGTTAGTTAATGAATTTAATAACAACATCAAAATTGCATTAGATATCATTTTATTATGTAGATTGTGAAATTAAAAATGTGTGTGCTTTATAATTACATAATGAATTACCTTTCTTCTAGATCACGATAGTATTCAGGACGTGGAGGAAGCTGATGATGCAAATGATGAATTACAGAGATCTGCCAAATGCCCCAAAAGTGGTATGTGTATTTCCTTACCCAATCAATTGTAAAATTAATATTTGTATTGAGTGTGGTTTATTAGACACATATTTGTGCATCTTGAATTTTGTTAGCCCTCACTATTTCTCACCTATATTTTAGAAAAAATTACCTATCAAATTATTTGTTTTCAGGATTGATTTCACGTCTTCCATCGGTACCAAAAGAGTACAGCCACATTCAAGGCATGTTGGTAAGTCATAATTGAACTTAAAATATATTTTTTTATGATTACAAACAATAGTGAGTACTTCACTGATAAATATACCGGTACTAGGCACATAAAGAAACTGTGCATACAAAAATTTATAATCTAAATTTATCAAACCTGTGTAGACACATAAGGATTTAAACTCATTAGGCCATTTGGAATGGTCCGTCGGGGAATGTCTCAACGACAAGTGCCTGCACATTTCCACTGCCACCGGAACACCATTTCTGCACTGGTGAGACGCTACCAGAACACAAATGACTTCATCGATCGGCCACGTTCTGGACGTCCACGTGTAACAACGCCAAGAAAGGACAGATGGATAAGGGTGACCCATCTTCGCCACAGGTTTGAGACTGCAGTGATGACTGCCTGAACCATCCCATGACTTCGCCATATCCACCCCAACACAGTTCGACAACGTTTACGTCATCACGGGATCAGACCACGACGTCCGGCCTATCCTGACACAACGTCATCGACAAGCTCGCCGAATGTGGTACCGAAATCATGTCCGCAGACCCTTGTTTTGGGGGAGAAATGTTGTTTTTACAGATGAGTCCAGGTTTAACATTTAAGTTTGAACCATGAAGCTGAATTTACATCATGTTACTCAAATTAACAGGACTGGTCGATTTGGCAAGATATTTGGCCTCCTGCATGGAAGATCAATCACCCATATGGCATCCACTCCGGTTCCTTCTCCACCGTCATCTCCTGACACTTCTGTGACTTGTTCACAAAAGCCAAAGAGACAGTCACACTGGCAGGAAGAAAGCGTGAGGAGGTCATGTGCCAGCCGTTAGTCGTCAGGGAAAGGTGCGAGCACAAGCAGGAGTCAAGGATCATCAAGGGCACCACACCTCCTCAATGTAGACACTGATCAACAATCAGTACAACCCATTGCCAGTTCATCTAAACAGAATGGTTTTCCCATGTCCGAGGCTCGTATGTAATATATTAATTTCTTTTCTTAAAAGCTACTGTTCGAACAAAGTCATTTATTTAACGTTTGCATGGTAGTTCTTTAAAGCTTTTTTCAAAACCGTTACATCAACATTATCTTCACCATAATCAGTGACATCATGTCCAGTTTGACTAATGATGATCAGGTTAAAGTGAAATTCAATGCATTTGGCTATCAGTACCATGGAGCATTATTTATCACATTATAGTCAAATATGATCTTCCAATTGATATATAATGAATTTACATTTCAGGTTTTCAGAGAAGAGTTTTGTTTCTGCTGACTGATATTCGCAATTCGCTGGAAAGTATGCAGAAAAATGCAGGCACTCAACAATTGGAAAACACTGTGGAAAGAATAAATATTTCACAAGCTGGCAGCTTAGATGAGTTCCAAGCTATGGAAACAAAGCTGGAACAAGAAAGCCATCAAACTTTTGTGTTGAGTAAAGTTACTATTTTTGTTGAAGTGAAGTAAGTGACCTGTTTCTTTTGAAAACAATGCATCTACTGAGTCAGCAAGTGTCATCTGTAATAATTTCTTATTTATTTGTTCAGTGTCATATGTAATAATTTCTTATTTATTTGTTCTGATGTTTAAACTTATGTGAACTAAACTGGGTATTGCAGGTATCCAGTTTACAGAAAATCGGTGGCTACACCTTCAAAGACAACATGAAAAAAGGAATCTCTAGGTAAGTAAATGTACCTTGCCATCCTTAACATTCTTTCCACATGAATCTGGTTGCATAAAAATATAGATTTATATATAAATATTTCTAATTGTTCTCGGCTTCACAAACGTCAGTATTGTTAGTTTAATTATAATGAAAGAGTGCAAAGTAAACGTGCAAGTATAAATACATATTACTGTATGTATTTTCTGAAGAATAAATTTAAAATTTAAAGAGTTACCGTTCACATACTGAGGTATTTGTTTTTTGCATTCTGTTAAAGGTACATGACAAATGGACTCCTGGCTAAAATGAACATGGAAGGCCATGGGGACAAGTTTGGTTTTAAGGGCACAAAACTGTGCTCACTTCCTGAAGTTGGCAAAAGGGGAAAGTGTCACCCAGAGGCTCCTCTGAACAGCATGTAAATGTCTTGCAAGAGGAGGAGACGAAAATAGTGGGTGTTACTCCCAGTTCAAGCTATTCATGAACGATAAGGATATTTAGGAGAACTGGGAAGGAAAGAAGAGATGCTCGTTCCTTGTCCCTTTTAGGGGAAATCGATGTAATATCCTCTTTTACGATGCCCAAAGAATTCTTTTCTATACTGTTGCCAACCTCAAATTCTTTACCAAAGGCTGTGGATATTTACGTAAGAGGATTTTGCAGGGTGCAAAGCCTTGGGATTGTGCCCCAAATTCATAACAGAACCCCTTCGGAGGATAATTGAAGGTGACAGCAACATGCAGGAGATGAGTACAGTCTACCAGAAGCTGTCTAATACCTTTCTACGATGAAAACTGATGTGTCAGAATTCCTCGAAGGTGAGAACATTCCATTTCCAGATCATGTGGTGGATGATGACATCAAGAGCAGACTGTTGAGGGCAGATGACTTCGATGACTACACAGCGACAATGGTGCAACACCTCTTTACTGTCTGGGACTGTCTCCTCAAGGATGCAGTGTCTGATCACCTCCAGGATAGAAGATTCGCCACTTTCAGTGACTCTCAAGTTCAAGAGACCATCTACACCAAAGCATAACAAGTTTCCAGAAAGAACCTTTGGTATGCTGGATGCCATAATGAGGCGAAAAGCAAATGCAAGCTTACTCTGCAATGAAGCTTTTATCATGTTCCCCTTGATCAAGACAGATCAGTGGCTTGAGAGCCTTACAGAGAGCGAAAGAAGAAATCATCTGACAGAGGCACATCAACAAAGGACCAAAGATACGAAAAAAGTACAGAGAAAGATCAGATGAAATTGAGAGAAAAGAAAAGATGAGAAGAAAGCAAAGGAAACTCATTGGAAAAAAAAGAACAGTGAACTGAAACGAAAAGCGGAACTCACAAATCAAATTGAGTATTACGGACTGTGGCAATATCCAGAAGCTGTTGATCAGAACTTGAAAAACATGGAACAGGAAAGACAAAAAGCCTTCACAGCTCAGCTAAGATTCAGAGAAAAGGTCCTTGAGCAAAAAATATCCAGAGAGAAATGTATTTTATGTCTCAGAGAAAGGGAAGTCACACTTGAACCAAAAGTTGGCAGGAAATCTGAAGAAACTCATCAGAGCTTCCACTGAAGCGTACAAAGAGATGACAGTGGCAAGTTCTGATACAAGAGGACCTATCCTAGTGGGCAAACGCAGCAGAGTTGGGTATCACTCTGTCAGTGACAGATTTTGCTGTTGCATGTGTTAGATAAAGACAAATAAAGTCACTGAACAAAGCTGTGAGAAACGTGCAGCGCAGCTGGCTCAATGCTGGAAGAGTACAACAAAGACTAAACTTCACACCACCACCACTACCACAACAACGTCATCACCAGCCCCAAGACCAGTAGGGTTGTGCAAAGTGTCATTCACCTCGGCCTGACAGCATGTTGCAACATACAAGATGGAGAGAAGAGAGCATCGTGACCTAACTTGTCAGATCTGATGGCAGGTTGGCCATTCCGCAAAGTGCTGCAAATTGGTGACTTTCTGTCAACAGGGAACTGAGCCAGAAACAGGCAAAGATCAGTCACATGACACTTCTTAACCCATTAATTAATAAGCTCAGAAATAATATATTTCACTTGTAGAAAAATCGCGGGAACAACTACGAATCAATAACCTGAAACTGAAACCAATATTGAAGGGAGGTAACTCTGAATCGAAACCCTACATCCGGGAATTACGTAGAGCCAATGGTGGCAGGAAACCAGCTGGGTTTTTTCCACGCATCTGTTTTCAATGGGAAAACAGCGCAGGAAAAGTTGTTTTTGTCCGCCAAGGGTAATCAATCGGTTTGGAATGCTGTCACCCATTTGGTTGAGGATGATTCTTTCATCTTCAACATCAAATGCAGCGCAACTGCAGATGGTCAGTTCAACGGCACTGACACGCCTGTGTCAACCCCAGTTCAGATGCTCATTGAATTTGGCAGTAAAGATCTGTTCATTTTCACATCAAAGAAGCTTGAGGAAAAACCAAACATTTCCAGGGGTCAAAAAATGCATTTGATGTTCTGCTGTCGGTGCAAAAAGAAATACAACTGCCTTCCGGAACTACTTGTTCGATATAAGCAGCTGTGTCTACACATATCGAATCCCTTGCTGCAACAACACTGTAAGTAGTTCACTGTATTATTTTAACAGCGCTCCACCGTTATATCTAAATATGGTAAAGAACCGTCAATATGACGTTCGTACCGTAAACAGATGTATTGTGGGATCGTTTACTTGAATGCTGCCATTGTTTGAGGTTTGGGACAGGCTGACTGGAGATCTGACTACCTCATCTGAACTGATAGATCACAGGTTACTGGTAAGGAGTATGGTATGAGTATCACATGCATAGTATATTACTTTCTGCTGTATTTATTTGTAGTTTAGTCTCGTGTATTTGCCAGGGAATATGCGTTGTCCGACTACAGTTTTCCCAGTTGTGCACGTGGGTTATCTTTGGTTGCAAATGTCATAGTTTTGCAACATCCACACTTAGGCATTATGTTGACCATTACCAGCTTCACCAAAATGTTCCAAATATACAGTTTCCATGTTGTTTCGTCACGTGTGAAAGGGCCTTTCATACTTACTCTCCATTCAAATCTCATACGCTGAGAGATCATGGCCAGTTACAATATCAAGGTCAAGGGTGAAGGTCAAAATCTAGTCTCGGGTCAGGACAAGTTTGAAATGTAGTATTGAATGGTGTGGAAGCCACTTTGACAGCTTAAGTAAGCATTTATCACATTTAAGGGAACACCTGTCTCTAAATGAGGAAATATTATGTCCGTTTAAGAATTGTGGCCTTCGTTTTAATAAAAAGTCATCATTTTCTTCATATTTGTCTCGCAAAAGCACCAAACCTCTGATATTCCCCACGTCTCTGTACATATACTTCAACAGGCAGATGAGGATGTTGGAGAATCCTACCAAAACATAGATTGTGATGAACACCTCTCAAGAACACCTCTCAAACATCTATTTGTGTAATCTCTTGTCTATCACCTGTACATTAAACCTGTCATAACCATTAAAACTGTACCCTTGTAATCTTCAATTGTGGAGGAAATAAAGACTATCTATCCATCTATCTATCTATACTTCAACAGGAAGAAAAGGATGTTGGAGAATCCTACCAAAATATAGATTGTGATGACCACCTCTCAAGAAATTTGATTGATTCAGAACACAATACCACCATAGCTGTTGCTGGCAGTGAACATAATAAGCTCGATGTCATAGTTCAATGACAGAACGATATAGATCACTGGGATGATGAAGGCAGTCACTTTGGCCCCAACACGAATGAACAATATTTGAGAAACTTGGCATTGTTGTATTTGAAATTAGAGAGGAAGTATTTGCTTCCAGTTTCAACAATCCTAAGTATTATTGAAGAGTTTAATTCATGGCATGAATTTAGTCAGAAGTTTGTGAAACATGCTGTCACAGAAAATTAGTCCTATTAACATGACCGAGATATATTGTGCAAAGCTTTAATGACTATTTAATACTGCAGAAACAATGATTCAATGCTACAGCTTCCATTACCAGATGCTTCGTCCACATTATTCCAGACAAAGGATCAAAGCTTGCAAGGGAAAGAGAAAGATTGACTGACTGAGTTCCACATTAGCAATATTCCAGCAACCAGACAAAGAATCCATTGTACCCATGTGGGATTGCAACCGGAAAGAGAAAGAAGACTAGCTCATCAGCCCGGAAGAGAAAGAAGACAGTCATCTCGAAAGTTCTCAAACTCATCAATGAACTTGCCGATTTTGAATGGATCGATGCCTGAGAGGGTAAACTTGTATTTGCAATAATGATCGGTTGGCATTAAGGGATTGGTTATACACTAAGGTAGGGGTCGGGTGTATGGGGGTGGATGTTGGCGATGTAGTCAAAGATTCAGTTGATACGAGGTGTAGAGATTTATTTGCTTTAATTTTTTATAAAGATTTAACGTGCGCTTCACGCAACTATCTGTTGCCTCAACAAGGCCGGAAGTTATGGGGCAGATAACTCTAATCGCTGCGGTGACCTCGTGGTTGTGAACGGAGAGCTATGAACGTCTGCTGCGGTAGACAACATTCTACTTTTCACTTTGCACACCTACCTTTGTGGAGAATAATGGGCCTAAAATTTGTAAGCATTGTTTCTTTTTAGTATTGCAACACTTTTCAAGCAATTTTGTCAGGTATTATTAATTTTAATGGTAAAGTGTTTTCTGTAAACTTCAACTTGACGAGCACGAGCACGAGCACATGG